CCCAGCTAATTTTTTGTATTTTTAGTAGAGACGGGGTTTCACCATGTTGACCAGGATGGTCTCGATCTCTTGACCTCGTGATCCACCCACCTCGGCCTCCCAAAGTGTTGGGATTACAGGCGTGAGCCACCACGCCCGGCTCCTTGAGCATTTTTATTAGATGGGCTTGAAAAGTGAGGGGAGAGTCCTGGTCCGTCATAGTGCCTGGTGTCGCCTGCTGTGGGGTCAGGAGGGATCCAGAAGTTGGCTGCCCCCCTGGCCAGAGTTGCAGGGCTCTCCTCTGTGTGCCTCCTCAGGGCGTGGTGCTGCAGCAGGACAGCTACATTGAGGACCAGAAGCTGGTGCTGAGCGAGAGGACGCTCACCCGCAGCTTGTCCCGCCCGAGCTCCCTCATTGAGCAGGAGAAGCAGCGCAGCCTGGAGAAGCAGCGCCAGGACCTGGCCAACCTGCAGAAGCAGCAAGCCCAGTACCTCGAGGAGAAGCGCAGGCGTGAGCGCGAGTGGGAAGCTCGTGAGAGGGAGCTGCGGGAGCGGGAGGCCCTGCTGGCCCAGCGCGAGGAGAAGGTGCAGCAGGGGCAGCAGGACCTGGAGAAGGAGCGGGAGGAGCTCCAGCAGAAGAAGGGCACGTACCAATATGACCTGGAGCGACTGCGTGCTGCCCAGAAACAGCTCGAGAGGGAGCAGGAGCAGCTGCGCCGTGAGGCAGAGCGGCTGGGCCAGAGGCAGGCGGAACGGGACCTGTGTCAGGTAATGGGACTCACTGCCGAAGGCAACCTAATGATACTGATTTAAGACCCCTGTATATTAAGCACTCTAAGAAAGTGAGCAGAGATATAGAGCCTGTTTTTGGCCAGGTTCAGTAACTGATACCTGTGATCACAGCACTTTAGGAGGCTGAGGTGCGAGGGAAACCTGACACCAGCCTTGGGCAACACAGGGAGACTCTGTCTCCAGGGTGGGGGGGAACCTGTTTTTAAGAATTTTTAGCTGGGCATGGTGCCTCACGCCTGTAATCTCAGCACTTTGTGAGGCCGAGGCAGACGGATCACTTGAGGCCAGGAGTTCGAGACCAGCCTGGTCAACATGACAAAACTTCGTCTCTACTAAAAATACAAAAATTAGCTGGGCACGGTGGCACCCACCTGTAATCCCAGATACTTGGAAGTCTGAGGCAGGAGCATTGCTTGAACCTGGGAGATGGGGGTTGCAGTGAGCTGAGATTGTGCTGCTGCTCTCCAGCCTAGGTGACAAGAGCGAGACTGTCTCAAAAAAAGAAAAAAAAAAAAAAGAATCTTTGTTTCACCCTGAAAGAGGCAGAGGAGCAAAGTCTTTTTCTGCTTTTTGCATCTCTTAAGAGGCTAAAGAAGAGAATGGAAATGCTGGGGTGTTCTGGCCAGGGCCGTGGTGGATATTTGGAGCTGGCACTTCCGTCAGCCAGAAGAGCCTCAGTATCTGAGAAAACGGCAGTCAGCCACCAGGATTTTAGGAGCAGCCCCACTGCTCTGTGCCACATGAGAAATCAGGCATGGCCCCGCCCTGAAGGAACTTGTAGCTTAGTGGAGAAGCACAGCAAGAATCAAAGAGCCCAGAACACGTGGTGCCTATGGTCTTGAGCCAGCAGGAAGTGGCTCTCTTGCCAGAGTTGCTGAAATAACCCATGTGGTAGGATCGGTGGGAGTCGGTTACAGAGGGAAGCGCCCACCCCAGCAAGTAGGGGAGGCGGCCACTCCTCTTGTGGACAGATGATGATACTCTTGCTTGGGGATACTGAGAAAGCGGCACTCTGCATAGTTCCCGATTTGCCCCTCTACTGCTGATGAAGCCTTTCGTTCTCTATAGCTGCTGCTGATATGGGAAGGCTCTCAGTTACTCAGCACACTCACTCCTGAGTTTATTTCGGTGATATTCCTTGGTTATTCAGAAACATAGATGCTTGTGGCAGATGGAGAGCCCGGGCGTACACAGATCTGCCCGTGTTTTGAAATGCGTATCATATTGCCATTTGTTTGATTGATTGACCTTGGCCATGAAAGAAAATTATACCAACATCTTCCAGAGTGGGGGACAGGTGTAGCTTTCTGCAGAGGCTGCCAGATATATGGTGGGGAGCAGCAAATGCCATGTGTTGCTTTTTATGACATAAGGATGGATTCTACCCCCATCCCAATGAAATCATCAGTGCTTTGACAAAGAAAGGTTCCCAGGCAACTAAGAGAAACCAGATTAGATGATCCTCTTGATCTTTGTCTAACCTTAGACTAGGATTCTTGGTGTCAGCTCGGCTTTTCCACTTACCCTCTAACCTAAACAGGCTTCTGTAATCCCTTTGCCCTAAAGTAATTATCTGCATCCCTGTATAGAGCAGTCTTAAGCGGCTCTCCTTATTTCTTCAGGGAGTGGGAATTCTTTTCTAAGTCGCCCCATCAAAGGTACTGTCGGTGCTTTTTGACACCAGCGTTTGTTTGTAATAAAAGTGTTAACGGTATTGAAGTTGGTATTTTTAACATATTTATAGATGTTACTTGGGGGAGGGCAGCTAATGAAAGAGAGAAGTTCTGAACCGTTGAGCTCTATGCAGTCCACAGAAGAGGTGGACTCTGTAGAGGTGACAGGGGCAGGTAAGCACCCAGCCAGCACACCCAGTTGAATCAGCCAGGATTTATTGAATGGGCATCAGGGGCGCCGACGGTCTCCAAGTGAAAACCCCTTCTCTTGAATATATACAGGTTTCCCATCCACATACCAAGCTGATGAGGATCCCGTCGTTCTTCCCCAGTGCTGAGGAGCCGCCCTCGCCATCTGCACCTTCCATAGCCAAATCAGGGTCATTGGACTCAGAGCTTTCAGTGTCCCCAAAAAGGAACAGCATGTCTCGGACACACAAAGATAAGGGGCCTTTTCACATACTGAGTTCAACCAGTCAGACAAACAAAGGATCAGAAGGACAGAGCCAGGCCCCTGCATCCACCTCTGCCTCTACCCGCCTGTTTGGATTAGCTAAGCCAAAGGAAAAGAAGGAGAAAAAAAAGAAGAACAAAACCAGCCGCTCTCAGCCCGGTGGTGAGTCACCCCTACCTGCTCTCCCTGTGGCCACAGTGTCTCTGCATTCTGAGAGAAGGCAGATTTTAGTGGCACAGGGTGGGGTTGAAAAGGGTACAGTTGAGGTGCGCAGAAGCCAAGCTGCCATCCTTCTCACCAGCTCCACTTGCTAAGAGTGTCCATCAGAGAGCGGTAACCTACTCTGGCTGGGGGCGGTGGCTCACTCCTGTAATCCCAGCACTTTAGGAGGCCGAGGTGGGCAGATCATGAGGTCAGGAGTTCAAGACAGCCTGGCCGATATGGTGAAACCCCGTCTCTACTACAAATACAGAAAATTAGCTGGGTGTGGTGTTACGCCCCTGCAGTCCCAGCTACTTGGGAGTCTGAGGCAGGAGAATCCCTTGAACCTGGGAAGCGGAGGTTGTAGTGAGTGGAGATTGAGCCACTGCACTCCAGCCTAGGGGACAGAGTGAGACCGCGTCTCAGAGAGCAAAACTGCATTCCGTGTGGCACATGTGCAAAAGCAGAGAGCATGGGTTTCATTTTCAAGGCATTATTGAGGATCTGGAGCTCACCTCTGAATGAAGTCATTCAAGTCCTCCTTGCTTTTCTCAGCCTAGATAGTCCTTGATAACAGCTAGCGCCTGGTGCCTTAACCCTCACGTGACCGTATGAAGGTGGCGCTGCTAACCCCCAGAGAAATGCGGAAACTGAAGCTCACAGAGGTTAACTAACGTGCCGGTGGCCACAGAGCCTGTGGCTGAAATACACCGGATGCCTCCCCGTTCATGTGCCACTTTCCGCCTGAACCCTTCTCTTTAGGATTGATCTCTCCTTTCTGTGCGGGAGGTTAAAGAAAAAAATTTACGTTTTTCAGGCCTCTTTATAAATTCTAGTGCTTATGTCAAAGTTAAAGGGTGCATTAGACAGGGAAGGATGCCGCTAAGAACCTTGTTAACCAAATTCATTCAGAAACCCCAGTGTGTAGAAACTTAATTGCCCACAAGCCCCTGTCACCTATTTGCATTACAGAAGACTTTGGGTTGGGGAGGAGGTTCAGTGAAAGGAGCAGTTTTTCTGAATTTTCTTCATTATTCTTTTTCACTTTTTCAGATGGTCCCACATCAGAAGTATCAGCAGAGGGTGAAGAGATCTTCTGCTGACCCTCCTCTCTGCTGAGGCAGCTGCCTCCTGGTCCTGGCCAGCCCACCTCTCCTGCTGTCCCCGCATGCACAAGTCTCTTACACTGGACGCCCACTGCTCCTCAGCGTCCAGTCCTCCTGGGCAGCCCCAGGTCCTGGACAAGAAGGAACAGATGATCTGAGTGTCAGGGTGGGGAAGGAGGCCCGGACTCTTGCTTCGGCCGTGATTTGTGACTGCCCAGGACTCTCAGGTTGGGCTGGCCCTACTCAGGATTACACTGAAAGTAGTGGCTCGTAAGTACAGGTGATGGTTTTGGACACGTCAGGAATTCCTAAAGACTAAAAGAGCATTTCCAAATAAGGTCTGGAACTCTGACTGCCTTTAATTTGGGGGAACACAAAACCAAACAGCAGATGTTCCAGACTTGACCTGTGTACATACCCGGGGACCTGTCTGCATACACATGTGGGGAATGCCACAAGAGGGCCCGGTCGGCACCAGCCATCTGGGCAGCTTAGCTCAGCACAAGGGCCGTGCCTGGACTGACCTGGAGCCCCTGCACATCAGTACTTCACCCGGTAATCCTATAGCCCACCCCGTGCACATATCACCCCTGTTTTGCATGTATTTCTCATTTCTGGGATGACAGACATTTGTGAAACAGTGAGAAGGCTTGATGTGTATAAAACACGTGGTCTTCACCACCTTGATCTCGGTGTTTCGGGCACTAAAGCAACAAAAAAACCCATAGTATCTCATTTCGTCATCAAATCCAGAAGAAATACGCTGGTTTTCCAGGATGTTGACCCACATGTTTTGGCCACAGATTAAAGTGAAGTGGCCTAGTCACCATTATCCCTGCAGCATGACATTTTGGTTGTCACCACTCAGAAGAGGCCACGGCCTTCTGGCTGTGATCCTGAGCCCCCATCGTGGCTCTCCCAGATAGCAGCCGCCGGGCCCTTGCTGGGTGAGGGCGCGCCCTGTAGGCACACCACCGCCAGGGGTCAGCCTCCCGCCCAGGCCGGGCAGAAGCAGTGCTCTGGAGTTAGGACAGCTGGCTGAGAAGGGGTTCAGGTGAAGGGTTAAGCCATGTGTAGCAGGTCCTGCCAGTGCAGACCTGGAGAGGAGCTGGTCGGGGGGGGCGTGGTTGTGAAAGTGCCCTTTTGATGTTAGGAGGCCTTGGCAAAATTGGATTTCTTAAAAAATGTTTTCAATCTAAAGGTCTGTTGTTGAACTGTACTCTGCCCCTGAAAGAGGCCACAGCTGCTGCCTGCTGCTCAGCTTTGCTTTTGCTTTCCTGATGTGTTTTGATCTGTGTTCGCTTGAGGCTCTCCCCAGCTGGTGTGTGCAGGATGGTTCATGGTGATGTTTCCCTCGGAGGCCCCGGACACCAGAAGGGAGGCCGTGGAAAATTCTGTGCTTCAAACGTGGCCTTCAGTTCTTGCTTTTTTGCCCGTCAGAAGCATGGGGCTTTGAGCACACCTAGAAAATCTGTAACTTGGTGCTTATTAATGAATTGCAAGCTGGCCTTGCAGATGGAGATATTTATCTTTCAGTTTATTTGAAAGAGGTCTGGTTTGGAACTTTTAGCCTAGATTTGTTTTATTTATTGTATATGTGTGTTTGTGTTTTTCTTTTTTAAGGGTGAACCAGGACTAGCCCAAGAGTCTAAACTTACCTGATCAATGCACAGTGAAGTGACAGCCAGCATCTCACTCTGTCTTTCCAAGTGCCTTGAAGGCCCAGATGAAATTTTAAGGGGAGGGGTCCATGTCCTTCCCTCCCCCACCCCATCTTGTTCTTTAACCAAAGGATGTCTTCTCCCTTGTTTGACAATGAAGAAATTCGCCACCTCTGAGCTACCCTTGCCTTTTTTTTTTTTTTTTTTTTGTCATGGAGAAGTCCTACCCTTTAGAAACAGACTTCAAGGCCAAAACCTGCTGATTTTTCTGTTGAAAACATCATGTCCCCTTGCAAAGACCCTAAACAGAAAGCTAAGTTGCTTTCTTTCACCAAGCCATGCAACTCCAAGTTACAGCTGAAACTGTTGTGACTTTCCTCAGATGTACCACGGGGCTTGGCTGTCTGTTCTGGTCACTGGCTCTGAGTTCCCCTCCCGGCGTTCGCAGGAGGGCGGTACTGAACCTGCATTCTTCTCCTTGTAGATGTAGGCCGGGTGCCCCTGTTCTCCAGGCTTGGAACATCAAGGGGTTGGTGCTGATTGGATTAAATCGCGTACGTGCTCTTCACAAAAACACCGTGGATGAAGTTAGAGCACGTGGCCACAGATCTTGACTTCCGTGTTAGAGTGCCTTTTACCCCCCAGCTGTGATGCTTCCCCTGTCTTGGTTGTTTTAGCCGTCTTTTTTAAAAATGGAGATTTCACCTCTGTCCAGACCCCACTAACTTAAAGCGATTTGGTCAGGTTCTGGTTGGACAAGTTTAAAATCAGAAGGGTAGTGCCCAGAATTCCCCTGGCCACCCGCCTTCATCCAGGAATAGAGTCTGCGGTGCAGAAAGATCCACTTACCAAGAACTGTGCTCACATACCTTTGTCGTCATCTTCCTCCTTGGAAGTTGTCCTCGAGGGGATTTGTTCCTGTGCTCGGGATTTAACTGGGATGGTGGCTGCCTGTGCTTTTGCTCATGACCTTGACAATGCTGTAGTTGCTGGATCTAATGGCCTGTCTTGGTTTCTCTCACATGAGAAAGGGTTGTTTTCTGGGGTGACTCGGACTGAATTCCCCATACTGTTCCCACACCAGGATGCCATGTTCTCCAAGCTAAACAAAGCAGGGGCCTGAACTTGTGCTTATTTTGGGGGGAGAGATGGAATTACTATCCAGAGTCCCCAGATTTCCAGAATCAAGTGAACTTCATGGAAGGAGGCTGCATCTTCTCTCAATTCCAGTCATCTCAGTTGTCATCCCAGTTGGGTGACACGTGCACTTTAAACGCTCTCATCGGTTGGTTTCACTTTCGAGACAATCAAATGTATTGGCTGTGTTTTCTTAGAAAATGGAGAGGGTTAAAAACATGCAAACTGCCACATTCAACCCTTGCCAGTATTTCCTCTGCCCCCGTGAGAGCTTCTGGAGGGAAGAGTCCTTACCAAGATTTTTTTTGGAAAGGTACGAATCTTACCTTTTTTTCCCCTTATATGTCTCAGGGTAATACTATTGAGAGTCACCCCTTTGCTAATTTTCACCCCTTTGCTATTCGTTACCTTCCTTAGGCCTCAGTATTTGTCGTGAACACAAAGTTTTGAGACCCTTGGCTTTGTGTCTTCATGGGAGAGGGGAGGTGTTAGTGTGTGCGAGGGTCCACCCTGATAAGCCCTGCCTTAGTACAGGGTGGGACCACGCCCTTAGGGGCCAGAGCTGGAAGCCGAAGTTGCTGAGTTGCTGTCCGCAGAAGTGCTTTCATCATTGTCTCTAGGGCTTTTTCCCTTCAGGTCTTTCTTCCCAAGGATGTTGGTATTTGCATTGGAGTTGAGGTTTACTGTAATGATGGGTGGTCCGTCTGTGCCCAGAGGACAGCCAGGCTCTGGGAGGAGGTTTCGAAAGACAGTCCTGGTGAATGGGCTTCAGTGGTCACAGGGAGAGTGGCTGTGAGGTGACGATGTGCACGCTCTGTGGTTGGATGTCCATGGAAAGCAGGAGCCTAGAGCTAACCCTGTGGATGAAAGGGGAGCGGCTGTGGAGATCCGTGTGCCTTGCCTCCTTCCGCAGGACCGCCCAGGTGTGTGGCCACCTCCAGGCATGTCCCAGCCAGCCAGCCCCCCCATCCTCAGAGACAAAGAAGAGGGCAGAGTTTGGGCTTGGATCTGAACTTTCCTTTCAATGTAGCGGAGCATTCCTAGTTCACCAGAGCCTTAGAGTCCACTGCCTGCTGGCCGGGCTTTACAATGAAAAGTATTTTAATGCTGCCATAAAAAAAAAAAAAAAAAAAAAAAAAAAAAAAAGGAAGGGAAAATACAGGCATCTTTCCAAGTACTTATCTAATTTGTCAAAAGATTGACAGGCCCTGAAGGGGCAACCTTACACACTCATCCCCTGCCTTCGAAGTGTGTGACCTACCCTACAACCGGCTGGGGCCACCTGTGCTGCAGTCCCGAGGGGCTTCTGCAGGAAGCACACACCCCACCCCTTCTGCGGCGGGAAATTTTCCCCTGCCCTTCATCAGCACCTGAGGCCGTGGGCAGTCCCTGTGCACTGGCCCTGGAGCGTTCCTGGTGAGGTGCCTGTGGTTCAGCCTTGGCCCCTGCTCTCCTGTGTTCTGCTGCCCGTGTGGGGTTCCCAGGGGAGATACGGGGAGGAGGGTGGTTGGGACACCCCGGATACCTCTGCTGTCACTGCTTCTTTCCAAATGCTCTATGGACACTTCCGTGCTAAACCCTATTAAATACAAAGACGGGTTATAACCCAGATGCTGTATATTAATTTGTAATTATGTATAAAGTGAAGCAGTTTTAAACTGTAAAGGTTTTTTTCAGTGTGTTTTCTGGAATTTGCCACAGCAAACTGGCTTTGTATTTTATTTATCTTTCTTTCTAGTTACCAGCTTCAGACTCTTGTAAAGTCCCCCTCTGCCCTTTCAAACAAAATAAATTCCCTGTGAAGTCTTGGCTGGTGCTGTGATTCATTCCTGTTCCTGGTTCCTGTAGAAAGGATACTCCCCTTCCACCCCCAAAGCTCTGGAGGAGAGGCTTCTCCCAACGAAATCATTTGTTTCTGTAGTTGCGGGAGCCGGGTTTGGGGAGAGGCCTTCTGCACCGAGCGGCTGCTGGGGACGCGTGCTCTCCTGGAGCGGGACTCAAACCCAGAGCACGACTGATCAAGCCCTAACGTCAAGAGTTCATGCCAAGAGCCCGAACTCTATTTCCAGATACATGAATGCAGTGAACCGAACTTTCCTATAGAGCCTGCAACTGCCCTTCATGTTAATTCCTTTGCTAACATTCCCCACCCCATCCCTCCCCCAAACTAGAGCAACAGCCAGAAACTAATTCAAGAAGAAAGACCGTCTCTGCATAGAGCTCCCAGATGATTCACCGGGTCTGCTCCCGGAATGCTGGGACTCGCTGGAAATGCACAGGGCGCTAGCTGTTACCGGCTCCACCTGCACAGCCTGTGGCTTCCTACCATCTGAATCTGCGCCTTCTAGACCTGTGGGAAGGCCCTTAAATCCAGCTGGGCCTTGGAGAACTGTGCAGCTCAGAGTAACACAGAGAATGTGGGCAAAGCTGCCCAGAGTCCCTGCTCTGCGACGACCCGGCTCACGCCTGTAATCCCAACACTTTGGGAAGCCAAGGTGGGCAGATCATGAAGTTAAGAGATTCAGACCAGCCTGGCCAACATGGTGAAACGTCGTCTCTGCTAAATTTACAAAAATTAGCTGGGCGTGGTGGTTCATGCTTGTAGTCCCAGCTACTGGGGAGGCTGAGGCAGGAGAATTGCTTGAACCTGGGAGGCGGAGGTTACAGTGAGCTGAAATCGCTCCATTGCACCCCAGCCTGGCGACAGAGTGAGACTCCATCTCAAAAAAAAAAAAAAAAAAAAAAGCCTTCCCGGCTGCCAAGTGTCTTTTGTTTCACCACGAACTTGGAAGTGCACTGGTTTCTTCACAGTATTGTGGCCCTGGTGATGGCTGCCTCCCCACAAGCCAAGAAAGCACTGGCCTTTCTTCTCTCAGCTGCTACTTTTGGCTGTCACTGCTGCCCTGGAGTCTCCTCCCCCACAGCAGCCTCCTGGCCTGGGTCCACGGGGGCCCTCGTCCCACCCAGACACCCTCAGCAGGGCAAGAGGAGTGGTTCCCATGGCCTCCCTCCTCCGCTCTCCACCGCAATTGGTTCTGAGCCAGGGACAGGCTCCGTCCGGGAAGCAAAAAGACGAGAAGGTTCCACTCTCTTCCAGAACAGCAGAGGCACAAAGCACAGAGGGCCCCAAGGACACCAGACAGCCATTCAGTGGGGGCCCAAGTCTCTGCCCGCTCCTGGTGGAGGCTGCTGTGCCCAGAGCCTCTGCCACAGCACAGACCCGACTGCCAAGTGGCTCCTACGAAAGTGGCCATTTTCTGTGTGAAGGTCCCTCATCCCCAGGGCAAGACCGTGGCCTGGGGGCGGCCGCCTGTGAACTGACAGGATGCTGCCTGCACCACGGCCCTGCCAGAAAGTGAGTGGGGGCCGCTGATGCTGCAAGAAGAGATCTAAACCGAAGTGCGGGGAGGACCTCAGCCGGCCCGGAAAACCGAAAGGCCAGGGAGGAGCTTGGGAGGAGAGGAGGCCTGCAGCGTGCAAGCTTTGCGATTTCCTTGGAAACAGCCACAGAAGCCGAGGGCCGGCCAGCTGAGCGGCAGAGCCTTAGACCTCAGACCTGGAACTTCCTGAACTCCCTGCCCTGGGTGACAGCCCCCTCATCCAGCCTCTGCACAGCAAGAAGCGCCTCCCTGAGCCTCCGCCCCCAATCCGGGTCATAGTTGTTCCCTTGGAGTCTTAGGAGACTCCTTTGTCCTTAACATTTGACTCTATTTCTTCAGGGGCACAGTGGCAGGTCACCCAGAGGGCACTGGAGCAGTCTAGTTGCAGCACCGTCCTGCCACCCCTGTGGGTGTCCCCCGGGCCAGAGAGGAGGCTCAAGTGGGAGGAAGTGGGTCCCAGGGCCCCAGCAGCCTACACCCTCCGCCCCAGTGTGGGGCCCCTGCCCCCTCTGCCGTCCCCGTCTGCCTTTGGTATCCAAGTGACAGCCTGGGCTCCTCCCAGCCCGCTCAGGCCTCCTCCTTTCATATGATAATGACCTGCTCCACACAGCCCTAGTCCCACAGATGTGTGGGCCACCCATCCCTCCCCGTGCCTTTGGGAAACTTTACTTTTTCCTGGGAAACAATCTGGACCGGGGACAAGGACCCAGGAGGCCTCAGTGGGAGAGTTGTAGGGAGGGGGACCTAACAGCTCCTTGGACTGGGCCAACTGGAAGCCAGTCCTGCTTTTCTCTCCCTCCCTGGTCACCACTTCCCTTTAAGCTGTCCCTGGACTTCCCACCCCACCCCCAGCTGCAGAGTTTGAGGTGGCGGTTGCCTGGACAACCTCGGTTCTCTGTGGTGTAAAGGAGCGGGCTGCCAGGCAAGTGAAACGTGGCTGCCTGCACTGAGGAGCCTGGGAGGGGGCCACGCTGCGTCCCTATCGGGGTCAGCTGTGGACCGGCTGAGGGGGCCACGTGGAGGCACTGGGATGGACACAGACTCCAGACCTGCCATTCACAGTCGAGTGGCCAAGCTGCCTCCATTTCCTCTTTCCGAAGGGACTGACGTGTCTGTAGGTGGCATGCACATTGTCATGATGCTGAAGAGATGAGCTGAGTGCTTGGTCTGGGGTCCAGCACACCCGCCTGGAAGCACCTCCGGGGAGCAGGGGACAGCTGCCACAGCAGTGGCCTGGAATTCATATCCTGAGTCTGCAGAGGGCTCTCCAGGGGGCAGACTCTGTCTTCTCCATCTTCTTGGGCAGCACACGGCCACACGCAGACGTGGTCTGGCTCGGAGCAGCCACCTCCACTTCACGTAGCTCTGGTTAGCTGTCCCTTTCTCTAGGTAGCCTCCCTGACAGCCAGGGCGAACCTGTCCCACCTTCCGTCTGCTCGCTTAGCTGACAGGCCTGCACCTCGCACGGAATCGGATGATGCCAGCATCTCCCGGCTTGCTCCAGGCACCTGCAGTGCTGAGCCCTCCTTTGTCCGCTGGAAATGGGCTGAAGGCTGCATCACGCACACATTCATTCCAGAGTTAGGAGCTGGGAATCAAGGATGGGCTGGGCTATCCCAGGAACCTGGGGGGACACCAGTCTGCTACCAGCACGGCCAAGTCTGCAGGGTGGATGTCAGGCTGCTGCGACCCTACCTAGGACCAGGGAGCCCAGGGACTCTCACCCGCTCCCCCTGGGATGAGAGGTACTTGGGGAAGCCAGGACAAAGAGTCCACCTGCTAGGTCTGGAAACACTTAAGTTCACACCCTGGGACCCCACTCCTGTGTGTCCTGAGGCAACAGGCTTAACCTCTCTGGGCTACAGTTATAAAAATGAGGATAATGACACCTACCCCATGCAGCAGTGGTAAGAAAAAACTCCCTTTCCTGATTGGCGGGAAGAGAATGACAACAGGAAGGCTGATGATTGATATCCTCACAGTTCCCTCGTGGGCCTGCCAGGTGTGAGCACTGCCTGTGATTTGGAGGATTCCATGTGGTTTCAGATGCATCTGGGTCAAAGGAAGTTTTTCAATATTTTGCCACCTTCTTAGAGTAAGTTCAGGCCTCGGGGCTCGATAGAGGAGGGCACTCACTGGGAAAGCCACGGGAGCCTCATACCCATCATCTCGGGGTATGTTACATCCTGACGGGGGGTGGAGTCTCCCCATGGGGGGGTGATCACTCGGCTCACGGAGTTCAGTCGGCCCAGCAAGAGCCAGGCACGAACCCACGTCTCTGACAGCAGCGCTGGTGTTGCCCCTAAGACCGGTGTTTTATGGAACAGTCACTGCGTCCCCTGCTTTAGAATGATCTGGGCTGCTGGTTAAAAAGCCCATCCCTGCGCCCAACCCCAGATGTGATGCACCAGCACATCCAGGGAAGACGACGAGGAATTTGCATTCTTTTTTGTTGAGTCTCGCTCTGTCACCCAGGCTGCAGTGCAGTGGCGTGATCTCAGCTCACTGCAACCTCTGCCTCCTGGGTTCAAACGATTCTCCTGCTTTAGCCTCCCGAGTAGCTGAGACTAGTCACCCTCCACTATGGGGGCTTCACCATGATGGTCAGGCTGGTCTCGAACATCTGACCTCAAGTGTTCCACCCATCATGGCCTCTCAAAGTGCTGGGATTATAGCCATGAGCCACTGCACCCGGCCGGAATTGCATTCTTAACCAGCACCCTGGGGGTTTCTTAAGTTTGAGAGCTGCTGTGTGCATCTTAAAACAGTTCACCCTTGAACAACATGGGTCTGAACTGCACAGATCCACTTACAAGTGGATGTTTTCAACCAAATCAATCAAATGCTGACTGAAAATATAGTATTTGCGGGAGGGCCGTCTCTCGCCTAGGCAGGTTCCGCAGGGCCGAAGGGTGGGACTTCGGTGCAGACGTGGGCTTTGGTGGACGCTGGGGTCCTGAAGCCAGTCCCCCAGTATACCGAGGGATGGTTTTACTCCCACAAGGAGAGCTGGGGGAGCGGAAGGGCAGGAGAAATGAAGGGGAAGAAAGAACAGCCGGAGGAGCTCGGGTTCTACCTGCCTGGAGCAGTGAGACCCTTCCCACTGCAAAACGAGCTTCCTTAGGCGGAGCCCTGCGCTCATGCTCAGAAACTTCTCCACTACCATGTTGGCTGTGCATGAACAGCCATGAGTAAGGTGTGTTAGAAATGACACAACCTCACTAAGCCGCTGTAAGGATGGAGTGACTAGGCCGGGCGCGGTGGCTCACGTGGTCAGGAGATCGAGACCATCCTGGCCAACAAGGCGAAACCCCATCTGTACTAAAATACAAAAAATTAGCCAGGCGTAGTGGTCTGCCTGGAGTCCCAGCTACTCAGAAGGCGGAGACTGCAGTGATCCAAGATCGTGCCATTGCACTCCAGCCTGCT